GCTTGAACGCTCGAATCGCGCTAATCTTGGGGTGAGATTTTTTCATTCGAGCCTCAAGCGACGGAGTCGAGCAAATACGAAGTGTTTACACGAAGATATATGCATGCAAAAACTCGAGTGCTTCGACGCCTAAATGCTTTGGTTAACTGTTGTATTACTCTTTACGTCTTATTTATTCTCATTCTTTTTACTAAAGACAGGGAGATATGAGATATTGAGTGCATTCGATCTCCCACTCTATCATAGGCATACAGCCTATCACTCACTCATTCAGTCTCAATTCGAGTGCACTCTATCTCGCTAGGTTATGAGTACGGTCATGCAGCTCTCTAATATGCATATATATATATATATATATATATATATATATATATATATATATATATATATATAAAAGAGAGTTGTGAAAATACTGAAAAAATTTGACGAATACTTGAAAAACGCGGTTTTTTCCCTAAAGATTCAAATTTCCATTTATACTCAGTAGCCTTGACAACAGTGACAGTTTCGGTCCTGTATAGAAGTAAATAAACAAATGTAGTCAGTCAGTCTACGGCACAGCCTCGAGCAGACCTGACTATTCAAAAAAAAAAAAAAAAAAAAAAAAAAAAGACTATTCAAAAAAAAAAAAAAAAAAAAAAAAATTTTTTCCAAATCAAAAAGAAAAATATTTCAAATCAAAAATCTGCAAAAATTAAAAAAAATCAAGAGATTAAAACCTGACTAATCAAAAAGAAATAAAAAAAATTCAAAATTCGAAATTCAAAAAAAAAAAAAAAAGTTAATTATTAAAAAGTGTATTTTTGTCTTTTTATATTTTTGGACTTTTAAACTTTATAAATAATAATTGTGCGCGTGCGTACAAAAGCTAAATATCTCGAATGTTCAGGTATTTGTTTGTCTCAAACATAAATTTGTGTAAATTATTTATATTTATATTTCTCGATTGTTTTATATGGTTTTGTGCGAGGGCAGTATTACTATTAATAAAAATTCCGCGTCCTAGAAGATCTAATCTTTCCCGGCGGACCCATAATGCAATTAGGCAACGGAATATCGCGAGTCAATTATCTGACGAAGAGCGAGAAATCGCCCGATAAAGGCTCCGCGTTAGTACCCAGCAAAGAAGGGCCTTAATTCGTGCTTCTCAAAGAGAGGCAGCCCGTGAAATGGCAATAAGAAATGGTTCAAGGATTGATTTGAATCGAGAAGCGTTTCGATATGATTGCACCATTGACTATAGCTTGAATCGTTTAGTTTGCATTGGTCCAATGGACGTTGTTTGCCAGCATTGTGGCGCATTGAAGTTTGCTGGTGAAACGCCCGGTTTGTGCTGCCTTAGTGGTAAAGTGACATTGCCATTAGTGGTCCCGCCACCAGAGCCATTGCGTTCCCTACTTTTCTAGCGAGCACTCAAAAATACAATGCCTGTTTCCAATTCGGGGCAGAGACAAATCCAACAAATCAAAAACCATGAAAATTGGTGCAGCAGATCTCGAATTATAAGTTTTGTAACAAACTCTACTTTGTTTTATATATATAGAGACTGTTAGGCGGTACGAAGTTCGCCGGGACAACTAGTATATATATATATATACTTGTATATAGACATATATACTTGTTTATATATTGAAATTTAATGTGATTTGAATGTTACACACGCATATATCAGATCTTTGCATTTTATAAAACAGAACAGTATCTCCTTGAGCTTTAAAGCTTGAATGTTGAAATTTCGCACGTGAGCTAATATTATGATTCTATAAAGACTGATGAAACAAGTAAGAACGTTGTAGTCGGGCGTTACCGATTGCGGAATAGTCCAAAGAGCTATGCCGGATATATGTATCTCCGCCCACAGGGTGCGTGGCAAGCCGAAAAAGGTTATATCTCCTACAGCTCAACAGGTAGAAGCTCGTTGAGTTATTGGTAAATAATTATAACGCCTTTTTAGGGGCGTGGTGTATCAAAAAATACCCTGTAATTTTCACATTTTTTGAGCGTAAGCATAAACATTTTGCAGTTACCTTCACCTCGTTCTAAAAACTGGCCACAAATGAGGTGTCAAAGCCTAGTAGGGCCGTGGCAAAAAAGGGAAAACTGAATTTCCTACAGTATTAGAGCTAAACTTAGCTGCAAAATTGCTGATGGGCTGTGCATAAGTACTTTGCAGTTGGTAACGCCCGACTGTAACGTTCTTACTTGTTAATAATAAATTTTTTGTTTGTTTCAATGTTCACAGCTAGTTCGAACTTTACCAAAAATTATCTTTTCTATTACGCTATTTTCTAATTTTATTACATATATAAATATAAGTTAAAAGCTGTTGATGTACATAATAAACAATTCAATTTGTAATCCATTATCTATGTTTACAGGGACTAAAAAACAACGATAGGTCGTCAAGAATAATCACGACCTATGCGAAGAATAAACGTAATGGAATTAATGGTTTAGGGCAAATTGTCGTACATCAATTGTTGAATCTTTTGAAAATGTACTTGAATAAAGAACCCTTTACATCTAAAATATCGCTGTGTTTGTTTAATTTATGTTGCCAATAATCAAAATTGCGGGAGGTATTCAGGACCCATGCATCTAAGCATATCATCACATTCCCGCGAAATGATCGTATGTCGAAAAATGTAATTTTACAGGAGAAGCTTTTTATACCCTGAACCCATTGAAAATGGGAAATCAGGGTATAATGGTTTTGTGAAAAAGTATGTAACGGGCAGAAGGAATCATTGCAGACCCCATAAAGTATATATATTCTTGATCAGGGTGACGAGCTGAGTCGATTTAGCTCTGTCCGTCTGTCCGTATGTTTGAACTCGTCGATCTCAGAAGATATAAAAGCTAGACTTGAAATTTTTTTTCCTAGGTCCGTGTACACCACGCTCATATCAAGTCTGTTTTTCAAATATCGATAAGTTGTCCCGTTATTTTGTTATCGATTTAAAACATCGAAAACCAGTAATAAATTTATATCTCCTACATCTTTAAAGGTAGAGTCACCAAATTTTTTATGTAGATTTATATGTACTTTATGGCATTTCGATTTTTGTCAAAATTTATACATATTTGTAAAAGGCGTATTTCAAATGCTTTAACAAATACATGCATATCTATATTATATTCATGATCTAAAAGTTTCATGAAGATAGTCCATCCACAAGAAAAGTTATTAAACAATTAAGTTTCAAAAGAAAGCCACCACTGCAACCAATGCGTGTTTATGCGTGCTTGCGTATGGCTGTGTGTGTGCATGTACCAATAATTATTGAAATATCAGTTGCTCGAAGGGTTCAGGGGATCTCGTAGTCGGGCAGTCTCGACTACTGCTTTCTTATTTGTTAATTTTGTTATTGTATGTTAGTATACATACGCTTGAATTGAAATTAATTTTTTTTTTTTTTCGAAACTAGAGCGAATTCAGTTCTTTATTTTTTGCAAGTATGTGAGACAGACATTTTCTAACCATTCTTCATTAAAACTTCAATTTCGCCAAAAAAAATCAACATACGATCATTTCGCGGGAATGCGACGAAATATTTTCCATATTTCCCCAGATAAGTTTCGCGTATTGCGAGACGACGGAAGTGGATCGATTGAAACTGGCACACAGATCCTATAAACAAAAATCGACGTGCTGCAATTGCTACCGGCGCCACCTATGGATGAATGTATGCTGGCCACAAAAGGAAACGTAAACTGAACGCAGCTGTGACGCAATTCAATCACACTGCAATGCACTCTCCCGTACACTTGCAATAGATACACACATTTATGTATGTATATGTACTCGTGTACATATGTATATATGTGTATGTATTTTTTTGCGATTGCAATTGTGTGTGGTGTTAGTCGAAACCGCACTACAGCTTTAATTGTTGTTTTTTTTTTATTTTTTTTTTTTGTTTGTTTTTAGTTTTTGTAGTTCCATCGTTCGTTGAGAGAATGAGCGAAAAATAAGCTGCTCTCTGAGCGTATACATTCATAAGTATGTGTGTATTTGGGAGCTTGGGCTTTTTGGCCGTGACTGATATTAGCGTTAGCAGGTAACCAAATAACAAATTAAGACGGTTTCCATTAATTCATTATATAAATAATGTGCCGAACAAAGCACATGGTTGGTTGGCTTATCAACCATATGCGCAATGGGTCAACTTATGTACATATGTATGTAACTATTCGATAATAATTGTATGCGCGACATGCGAAAACAGCTGGTAATCAGGATTAACCACTTTGGAACAAGGACAAAATGTGAACTTTGTGTCACCCTGTATTGATGCACCGCCACCAGAAAGTCTATAAATGTGTTCATAAACGTACAAATTAAATATTAATTTGTCAACAATTGTTTATTTAACATCCATAAATAAATATCTATCTGTTAGTAGCAGATATTTATATTTATTCGCGTGATTTTGCCAAACAATTAAGTATAAATAAAAGCAGCAAAAAAATCCAGTAACAATTGTTTTGATTGGTCAGTCAAAAAAACCTTGCTTTGCAGACGCTACCTCTTTGAATGTCAGCTCTGAGAGAGCTAGAGGCAAACATACATTTGTATGCGTACACATGTACATACATATGTAAATATGCACATCTTAATGTGCCTTTGTGTAAGTAAGTTGGCTTGGAGCTGCATACGAAACATGTTTTAAATTTGTTCATATGTATATGTATACCTTGTGCCTGTGTTGGAAAATATGTAGACACGTAATACTAATTAGTTTGAGATTTGTTACAGCACGGTTGCGTGTTATATTTTGTATTTTATTTTCTTTTGAAAGCTTAAAGCTGTGCTTTCTCGAGCATTAATACACGAGCACTTTACGCATACATGTAAATTCACGAGTGTATGTATACATAGGTACGTACGTACTACCACTAGCTTAAATCCAGTGAGCAGAGATAGTCAACGCTATACGAATGTCGTATGTAGGTACGTTTCATACAAGCGTATTGGTGTATGTATGTATTAACTTCAAAATAAAGTTCAGTTTAAGCTGGAGCGTAGTAGAGGTTGCGTCGTTTGTTCGTTCGGTCGGTCCGCTCCGTTCCGTTCCATTCGGTAAGTTCCTCACGGTAAGCACGTTCTCCTTCAGTGGTGTTGATAAACTACTTTTAGTTAATGCGAAAAAAAAAACCAAAGTGAAAAAAAGCAATGCAAAGTGACTGGAACATAAATACATGTACATAACGATACACATAATGTACATAGATACAAAGTTAAAAAAAAAATAATACATACACATGTTAAATTGTTTGTAACAACATGCGGATGTCTGTGCCATGTACTATGTTATGTTTTTGTACCTAATGGTGCATGTACACACATGCATACATAGTTATGTAAATCTTCTGTTAGTGCACATAGAAAAATGCAGTAAAAAGTCTTACGTATACGTATACAAAAATAAGGAGATGTATGCATTTGCGTTTGCATTTGCATATATACATATGTATGTACATGTCTATAAGTTCTAGTGCACACCCTGTGCCTGCTAAATTCACCCACATCTGTATATGCAACTAAAGCGTTGTTGGTACTTTTTTTTTTTTTTTTGTTTGATTTTGTATAGCTTGTGCAAAATATCTAAATATATAAATAAAAAATCTATGATTAAGTGCAAAACGAACGAGTTTGAATTTATAATAAAAGAAAACAACTACCTACATATGTACATATGTGTGTGAACACATACATAAATATTTGTATGTACATAATAATGATCTGTTGTTGTTTTATAAACGAGTGGCACAGTGAAATATAAACCAATATGTATAATGCTTTATTTCCTATAATTGTATGTAGGTATGCCTACAGTACTTGTCTCAAGTGTTATAAATAAGAAATGCAACTATGCTTATATATATATATATATATATATATATATATATATATATATATATATATATATATATATATATATATATATATATATAATTATATGTATGTATATACATATATACACATTGTACAAGTATACAGGCATTTCTTATGTACATATGCATTGATATTACTTAGGACATAAATATATATGTATAATATAAATAAGTCATATTCATGATTTCTTTTTATATTTCATGTATAATACATAATGTTGACTGACGCTTCGTGAAACCAAATAATCAATAAAGCTGAAAACGTAATTTTATTCAAATTAGAATCAATCAAGCACGTATTACACATGCCTGGACGTGGAGAATCGTATGTATAAATTTATATCTACGTACATTTCGTACTCTTAAAAATGCATTGTGTATGGCATAATACGTTATATATGTATATCCTTTATACACATATTTTTGTGTTTGTTTGTTTTTTACCTGTTCATGAGCTGTGGAATCACTTAATATAGTTAGCTAATGATGGCTTTAACAAGCTACGATACATATATAGGATATGTACATGTTTAATTTAATAATAATTTATAAACATATTTCTATTCCGATGTCAATGGCTAAAAAGCGTTTACGAATGCAGAAATGAAAGTAATAACTGAACAAATTAAGTGATAAATCATGTCGAGAGATCAGATCTAAGATGCTTAAAGAAGCCATAGTACTCTATGCATGTGTGTGACTTAGCATGGGTCATGAATCACGTTTCCGGCGAGTGATATTCATTTATTTTATTTACTTTTTGTTTTATTTATTTATTTATTTTTTTTTTTTTACCTAAATGTGGTAAAACGATCTGTAAATAAGTGATTGAAGTTGCGTTGTATTTAAGTACATATATAAATATATTTCTGTTTCTATTGATTTCTACAGATATTCCAAATTCAGACCTATGAAGACACATTGAATCCAGATAACAGATACTCACATCTTCGTTAATATACACACTCTGTAGAAAATTTTGAGGGTGAAGAATCGAGAAGCGATAGCCAAATACAAATACAAATCCAAAATCGAACAGAGTTAAATATGCTGGATATAGGCATTGGCAAAGGAACCGTCGAATTACCATTTATTGTGGAGCGTACGTGTACTGACTGCGCCAACGACAGCAACGACCAGCGGCGAGAAACAGCATCAACATCATCAATATCTAAATCAGCATCTGCATCAGTATCCTGCTGGAAATTGGAAAAGCCAACGGCCAGCAGATGCCATCCACACGCTGCAAAGCTCAATAGAAAAATCTGTTTATGTGAATATAATCGAATGGCAACAAGCTGTATATATTTTGTATTAGTTTTAGCAATCCTATGTGTAAGAAATACTAGTGCTGCTTTTCACAACAATATTACAAATAATAATCATAATAATACGTATGATAATAATGATATCGAAGGCGCAAGCAAAACTCATAACTCTGCTGGAATACTCAAAATTAACGAGATAGCCACTGAATTCTCTCCAACCAGCAAGAGCAACAGCAAAAACTACTCGAATTATCAACATAAATACAGGAAAGCCCAACAAAGTGGGAATAGTAAAGGTAAAGACCCAACACTCATCGCTGAGACTGACTCTGAGGCTAGTAATACTCACAACAACAATAGTAAAATCAATAATAAGAACAACATCGGAAACAGCAGCAGTAGTGCCAGTGCAGGGAAGAACGCGAAAGAGACTGAGAAACATCATTTAGATGATATTGATATATTTGGTGCGTATAGCATACCCGACGATCCAATCTACACAAATGAGTTTGCCGTGCATATACCCGCTGGCAAATCCGTGGCAGATATCATAGCTAGCAAACATGGCTTTACCAACAAGGGACAGGTACGAAAGCACTATTATATATTTCAGGATACTGTAAATTAGAAACCATTGCAGACAAAGGCATGTCAAATCCACAGACTAATTGTCGCTGCTCATAAACTTTTGTTTTCACGCTAAAATCAATTGTGGTAATCAATTCTAACCATGAAATCTATATGGTCTGGTTGTTCATCTCGTTCTTTGTCATTATGACGAATGCTCTCTCTGCAAGAGGTTTCTCCTCTTCTCGCCTGTGTCTGTGTGGAGCTGAACATGAATTTGAACTTACCATTAACTATTTTTATCTTTTACAGATTGGTGCCCTTGACGACTATTATCTATTTCAGCATCATCGTGTGTCGAAGCGTTCGCTTCGGTCGAGTCGCAAACATCACAGTGCCTTAAAGTCGGAGTTCGAGGTGAGTGTGGATAGCCAGCGTACACCTTGACTATATATATATGTATGCGTACACATGTACATGTATACATATGTACATGCTGTCTGACCTTGAATTTTTTGTTTGGTTAATGACCCCCTTGATTGACGTTTGCTTTTTACAATGCTTTCTAGGTTAAATGGCTACAGCAGCAGCATGAGAAGATCCGTCGAAAACGGGATGGCCCCTATCAAGATATACCCACCTACAGTCCGTACCATATTTTGCGCCAGAGTAATGACTACGTTATCGATCAGCAAACGAATACGCATTTTTCATATTCCCCAGACCCTGTCCTATCAACATCGTTGGGTGGAGCCCATTCGCCGCGCCTTGAGTACCGTGACGTCACGTCGCATCTCATATTCTCCGATCCGTTGTTTAAGGAACAGTGGTATTTGGTGAGTAAAGTATGTCATCAGGCCATATTTCATCTCAACTATACATACACATACATATATCTACACATTTATACTCTATTATCATTACTATCTCATGTGCATGCGTTAATCTATATGTGATCTATATCTATATGTATTTAGTTTGTGACACTATGAATTACATAACTTTGTTTCGTATTCCATAGAATGGCGGAGCTAAGGATGGACTTGACATGAATATTGGTCCCGCCTGGCAGAAGGGCTATACTGGTAAAGGTGTTGTTGTATCCATTCTGGATGACGGAATTCAAACCAATCATCCGGATTTAGCTCAAAACTATGTATGCTCCACATTTCAATATTCACGACGATTCTACAAGTTCATTGAATCACTCATTTTAGGATCCAGATGCTTCCTTTGACATTAATGGCAACGATTCCGATCCCACGCCGCAGGATAACGGCGACAATAAGCACGGCACTAGATGTGCCGGAGAGGTTGCTGCAGTTGCCTTTAATAACTACTGCGGAGTTGGCGTGGCATATAATGCCAGCATTGGGGGTAAGCAAAGCAAAAAACAAACCAAAAACGATGCAAACGAAATTAAATAATCTTGAAATACAAAACAAAAACGAAAATAAAATCAAAATCAACGTGTACATATGTACATAAGTGCTGTGAATGTTGTGAATGCTCTAGAATGAGGTTTTAGTATCAGTGTTGAATCGCCTCTTCCCGATTGGGAAGTACCTACCATCATTTCTTAGCCTAGGGTGATAGAAGTAAAATTTGAATTATATGTTTGAATGGACCAATACCTGTGCGATCGTCAAACGAATCTTATACTCATCTTAATTGACGTAAAGTACTTACCTAATCCCTTCATCAGTGTACATACATATATTGAAATTAATGATAATACTCATTCCAGGCGTTCGCATGCTAGATGGTAAAGTGAATGATGTGGTTGAGGCACAGGCATTAAGCTTGAATCCAGGCCATATCGATATATATAGCGCGTCTTGGGGTCCAGAGGATGACGGCTCTACGGTCGATGGGCCAGGCCCATTGGCACGCCGTGCTTTTATTTATGGCGTAACCAGTGGCCGTCAGGGTAAGGGCTCAATTTTTGTATGGGCCTCTGGCAACGGTGGTCGCTATACCGACTCCTGCAACTGTGATGGCTATACCAATTCCATATTCACACTTTCTATATCGAGCGCCACACAAGCAGGGTAAGACAATTATTCGAGTCGAAAAGGATTTGTCTATATGTATTTCCTCTTAAAGATTTAAACCTTGGTACTTGGAGGAGTGTTCGTCTACGCTGGCCACCACCTACAGCTCAGGGACGCCTGGACACGATAAGAGCGTGGCTACTGTTGACATGGACGGGCGCCTGCGCCCAGATCACATCTGTACGGTGGAGCACACTGGCACATCGGCATCAGCGCCACTGGCTGCTGGAATTTGCGCCTTAGCGCTCGAAGCGAATCAGAATATAACGTGGCGTGACATGCAATATTTGGTGGTATATACGTCGCGGCCTGGACCACTGGAAAAGGAGAGCGGCTGGACACTCAACGGCGTCAAGCGAAAGTATAGCCACAAGTTCGGCTACGGTCTAATGGATGCGGGTGCTATGGTTGCGCTGGCAGAGCAATGGAACACGGTGCCTCCGCAGCACATTTGCAAGTCTCGTGAAAACAATGAAGATCGTAAAATCGAGGGCGCCTACGGCTACTCGCTGGCTACGCATATGGATGTAAACGGCTGTGCCGGCACCATTAACGAAGTGCGCTATCTGGAGCATGTCCAGTGCCGCATCACGCTGCGCTTCTTTCCACGAGGCAATCTGCGTATCCTGCTCACCTCGCCAATGGGTACGACAAGCACGCTGCTGTTTGAGCGGCCTCGCGACATTGTCAAATCCAACTTCGATGATTGGCCATTCCTCAGCGTCCACTACTGGGGTGAAAAGGCCGAGGGTCGTTGGACACTGCAGGTGATCAACGGCGGACGTCGGCGTGTCAATCAGCCAGGAATTCTATCCAAATGGCAATTGATCTTCTATGGCACCTCAACGCAGCCGATGCGTCTCAAATCTGAGCTTCTAAATACGCAGCTGCGCAACAATCCTATTGCAAGCAATCCATTCTTATTCTCATCAGCCTCCAATATAGGCCAGCCAGCCAACGAAGGCGGTAACTTCAATACGGACAGCTTTGCGAGCTACCTGAACTATCAAAACCTATTTAGCAGCGCAGGCTCCAGTCCCGAGATGGCAACCGCCACGCTTGACGGCCAAAATGTCTCGGCCCCACTAGCGGCCCAATCGTCTAATGGTCTGCCCAATGTCGATAACAAGCTCATACAGTATTCCTGCGATGCCGAATGCGATTCCCTTGGCTGCTATGGCCGTGGACCCACACAGTGTGTGGCGTGCAGCCACTACCGTCTGGATAAGTAAGTGTGTTTACTCTTGAGTTAGCCGATCCGTTTGCTTAGGAGAGTCAGACACCAGTCCAACATCCAAGCTCTATCAGCTGTGTATCTCTATGTATTTATAAATTTATTATTTGTTGCTGTTGATTGGTTTCATGGGATTGCCACTAAGCGAGGGTAACCTGTGCTCCCTATATATTGAGAGCATGGTCTGCCGAATATATTTTGTCTTCCACCTGGTAGCAGTTACTTAATATTCTGATATTTCTTGCATGTGCAGCACCTGCGTTAGTCGTTGCCCGCCGCGCTCGTTTCCAAATCAAGTGGGTATATGTTGGCCCTGTCACGATTCGTGCGAAACATGTGCTGGGGCTGGACCGGATAGCTGCCTTACCTGCGCGCCGGCACACTTGCATGTTACTGATCTCGCCGTCTGTCTGCAAGTATGCCCCGATGGCTACTTTGAAGGTGAGCGTGTGGTATCAAGATACGATAACTGAAATAGTGATAACATTGGTACTTCCTTATAGACATCAAGAACAAAACGTGTGTCCCGTGTGAGCCGAATTGTGCATCCTGTCAGGACCGTCCCGAGTTCTGCACCAGCTGTGACCATCATCTCGTCATGCATGAGAACAAATGCATCTCAGCCTGTCCCTTGAACACATACGAGACTGACGAGAACAAGTACGATGCAAGTGACTCAAAAATTATCATATATTATATGTGTATTATTTTTAACGCAGATGCGCCTACTGTCATCCGTCGTGCGCCACATGTAATGAAGCTTCCGAAAATAATTGCATCACTTGCCGCCCCAGTCGTTACGCGTATCAGAACAAATGCCTGAACAACTGCCCCGAAGGTTTTTATGCCGATAAAAAGCGCTTGGAGTGCCTGCCCTGTCATGAGGGCTGCAAGACTTGCAGTAGCAATGGCATCTGCTCAGAGTGTCTGCCTAACTGGACGCTCAACAAAAAGGATAGCTGCATTGTGGCTGGCAGTGAAAGCTGCTCTGAATGTAAGTCTAGTTCGACTCGATTTGTGTCAGTCATATTTAATGAGTTGCTTCTCCCGTGCTGTGTCCAGCCGAGTATTTCAACCTAGCTGAGGGCAAGTGCAACCATTGTCATAAGTCATGCGCGACTTGCAACGGACCGCTGTCTACCAATTGTCTATCCTGCCATCAGAACCGGCTGTTGGAGCAGAGCAGTTGCGTGAGCGGCTGTCAAGACGGCTTTTTTATGGAAACGGGCGTCTGCACGCCATGTCTACATACTTGCACACAATGTGTATCCCGCACCAATTGTAGCAATTGTACCAAGGGTCTTGAGCTGCAAAACGGCGAATGTCGCACAACTTGCGCCGACGGGTAAGACAGGGAGCAGTATATCAAATGGTAACACATTTATGGACTGAATATATTTTGATTGAAGCTACTACAGCGATCGCGGCATCTGTGCCAAGTGTTACCTCAGTTGTCACACGTGCAGCGGACCGCGTCGTAATCAGTGCGTCCAGTGCCCGGCTGGTTGGCAGCTGGCTGCAGGAGAATGTCATCCGGAGTGCCCCGAAGGATTCTACAAGTCGGAGTTTGGCTGTCTGAAATGTCATCACTATTGCAAGACCTGCAATGGTACGTACTGTAAAACGTGACTCCCAAATGATAAATTGTTAATGGATTATGCTTTAGGTGCTGGTCCATTGGCATGTTCATCGTGCCCCACACATTTTATGCTTGATGGCGGCCTTTGCATGGAATGCCTCAGCTCTCAGTACTATGATGCAACAACCCAGAGGTGCAAGAGCTGTCACGAATCGTGCCGCTCGTGCTTTGGTCCCGGCCAGTACTCGTGCAAGGCATGCGCTCCCCCGTTCCATTTAGATCAGTTAAATAGCCAGTGCGTGCCATGCTGTCCAAATAAAACGTCTACCGATAATGAAACTAGCTTGGAAAACTGTTGTCATTGTGACATGGACACCGGTAATGTGCCGTAATTAGTGGAATTGAGGAATGTTTATTTAATTGACAACTGTTTTCCGTTGTAGGCGAATGTAAGACAGTATCGACAGCTGGTAAACGTCGTACCGTGGTGGGCTCCGACAGTATTTTTAGGAATGGGGATCGATCAGCCAATGGCAACGATGGTAATAGCGGCACATTTGCTTTGCGTCTTGACTCACCGCTGACAGCCATTACAGCGATTGCGATTGCCATCTGTTTGTTAATTATCACGATATTCTCTATAATATTTGCCGTTTTACAGGTAAGAAAAAGACGTTCTAGGTATTTCGCCAAATATGTTTATCCTAATTTTTTGTTAACTGGTGCAGCGCAACAGCAACTACGGATCAAGGAATTCGGTTCGGTACAGGAAAATAATAAGCAGATCGGGTCGTAAGAGCGATCCGAGCAATGAAGCTAGATTTATATTCAATGTGGGCGAGGACGGTGATGATACAGATGATAATACAGATGATGATATGGATGCCAATGTGAGGACTGTTAAGAAAGTCGTCTACGAACCCAATGGTCCAATGAATGGTAACGAATTTTTTATTAAAAGTACAAATGATATTGACGCGGTCGAGTTTCATTGCAAAGGTGCGGATAATACGAATCAAAACAAATTCGATACGCATCACAATGCAAACATATACACCGAAAGTAACAGTCCCACGTATTTGAATCAGGCAACGAGCAGCAGAATGAATACTAAGGTTGTTCATAGCTGATTCTTTAATAGATTGAATGTGAATGCACCCATAGCAACAATTGCCACAAAATTAACACCAACTTTGATCCTGAATTTCTTGCTCTGGACTAGTAAATTTTAACCTTACTTGAGGAATATAGCGAATCGAAATATTTAACATCCGAAATGATAAAAATTTATATGTGATTGTGAATTGTTTTTATATATATATATATATTTATAAATTTAATGTTTGTATTAAATTTTTATGAAAAATGTTATGTCAAGTTAAATAATAAGTGTGTTATTTTTTTATTTTGTACTTATCCTGTGCAACAGGAGTCGTTTTTAAAGGAACTTCGTATATGGGTATAGGCATGTACATATGTTTATGGTTATAGGAAGAGTAATGATATACATGAATGTATGATGTGATAGCAAATGTAAGTGAGTAATAAGTGGTTATGATATTCAGTAATGTTTCGAAAACATTGAAAACGTTTCAGCAGACAAATGCTTTCAGTTTATTTACAGGCAAATATACGTTTATGTATAAAAAGTATCAAATAGCGATATAATAATGTATATCTATGTTTGTGTGTGGGACACGTAACTGTAAATATAAATTGACAAATTAGATATTGTATTTCGAGCTTTGAGATTTGATGAAAATAATAATTCTTTATATCCATAGAATTATTTAATGGAATACTTGATCACGATTATTTGCACTGGTTGGCTGGCTGGTTGTACGTATGCACAGAGCATTTTATCATCTGGTCCGAATAAAAGTGTACAAGTTCATACATACATACACAATATTTGAGCAAGTTTTTAGATGCATACATTCTTAAGCTACATACATTCGCATATGTACGTGCATATGCACCGTTTGTTTATTTCTAAATCTATGATATTGTACAGTCGCAGCACATGAGCGAATAGTAGAGACATTTAACCACCTTTTCATCATTATCATCATAAGGTGCCATTGATTTCGTGTCATGTTTCTCCTTAACTGCGCGGCCATCTAACTGATCCATTTCCTGGCTAACGATTGATCTTTTAGATTTTTTACGTTTGTTTTTATGCATCAGTTCGGAGCAGTTGCGTTGGTGCACCATTTCATCAATCCATTCAAAATTTGAAGATATTTGATTTCTATTAAAACTAGAAATACTTTCAATTGAATTTATATCATCCTGGATAAAGAAAGAATCAGTTGATTCGTCACATCGTGAGCAATATAATTCAAGCTAACCTGGTTATTGTTATGGTTTCTGTATCTGCTCTTATGGGGTGAGCTGTTCCTGACAGCTGTCTGGTTGTGGGCTTTGCAATTGGCTAAGGGAGATGAATTGGTTGCTATCGAAGCTGTCGTCCCTGCCGAGCTATTTAAACCAACGGCAGTTGATATATCAGCTTCGCCGAGTGATGGGACCTTCGGCAAATCATCGGGATTTAAAATACTATGCTGTTGAAATAAAAATTGATATTAAGATGATCTGTGAATCATATCTACGTAGAAGCTATGTCAACCACTTACTAAATCAAGAATTTCAACTGTTGTGACAACAATCGGGGATGGCATTGCCGCAGTTGAGGCTGTCGACGGAGCCAGCTCCGACAGTGGACTATTTAAATTAGGAGTTATTGCAGCGATTGGAGTTGTTGGCAACGTGGCACATTCTGATACAGCTATTGCGTCATCTGGCGTTGTTATATTACTACGATCCAGCGAATCGCCTTTTACACTCTTCACAAGCGTCGATGACATGCCGCCTAGCAGTGCCAATGATGATGAAGTCGAGGCACCGCTTATTTCTGGCGAGGGCCTAAAACAATATGAACAGATGCTTAAGTCGCTATAACCAGATTCTATTGTATATATTTATACAATAAACAAAATTACACTTGTTACGACATCTAAATATGGCTTCGCCTGCTGATATTACATAGATATATTAGCAGAGTACATACATATATAATTGTGAGAGTATGTGCCATATGATGTAGATGGTTTACTCATTTTTTTTTTTTTTTTTTTTTTTTTTTTTAATTTGAAGTACATAGGAGGGGGTGATTTATTAGCTGCTTAACATGTATTGTCAATATACTCACAAGTCAATTAGTTCAGTTTGGGCCTTGCTGCCGCCCAAGCTCCACACCTCGCTTTTCTTTTGGGTGGGCGAATACGAGATCTGTTTGTTTGTAGAACTCAATCGACCTTTCGGATGGCTTTTTCGTCCTGGTATCCACAATATGCGTAAACCAGACGATTTGTTTTTCTTAGATGAATTCGAAGCCATCTGAAAATCAACGCCCTATTTCAAACATTACATACGAACAAATAACAAACGAGTACAGAAGTGTGTGTAAGTTCAAAATTTTCCGGGAGTTTACCGAGATCCTTGCTACTTTTGAGGAACTTAAGTGCTCGGTAATTTTTACTATTTCCATTTACCAATCCAATGATAACTTACTGTTTTTTATATAATGTGCTTGATTTGCTAATGGAGAATATGAGAAAACAAACACTTATACAAATGTATGTATGCATGTGCATGTACATACATGCGTGCCACTGTTGATGTTTAGTTAGTAACAATCAGAAGATAACATAAATGGTTTTTGTACACATGCATATGTATGTATGCAAGCCTAAATAGCATAATAACAGAAACCAGGTTTATCTCAGATTAAACCATATTACATTATGTTATATATTCCCTTCCTAATGAGCACCAACGGCTTCGACCTTTACATTGCGCAAATCAGTTTTACCAAATAAGTCAAGATCTACAATGAGTGCGTGCGTTTGAATGTGTGTGCTTATGAGTGTGGCTTTTACATATGTATGTATGTATTTAAATAAATATAGACTTGTTTGGTTCAAATGACTTGCTTTTCATATTCTTTCTTAAATATGAGTAGCGTTTTAAAACAAACTGTAAATGACACTTACCTTTTGTCGAGAGCCCTTTAAATTGTTGTTAAAGGCAAAGTAATAATTTGCAGCACTTTTTGTACAAACATATAATTATAAATATATTGCTTGTATGAGATGTGTGAATAGGCGTGTGTGGAGTCGTTTACAAATTATGCCGAGATACAGTCTCGTGTGGACGGAATTATTCAATAGTAGTTCGCTGAAGTTTTGGAAGTTTTTATTGGAATTTGTAAAAACACAAAAAATACAGTAAGTTAGTGATGTCAAAAAACATAAAAATTTTGATAATTGTGTCATCGATGTATCGATTATACAAGATCCATATTCTTATCGATAGCTTAATATTTAACACTAACCCCCGAACCACTAACCAAACAACACATACACTGTTAAAAGACACAGTAGGTTGCGCCACTAACCAGAGAACAAATAGACTAGACATGTAGAACAAACTTTTTCAACACCGAAAAATCTGTCTAGTAGCACTAACCACAGAACACTTTACGATTGAGTGATAGTAGGTTATGCAAAGCGAACAGCGTGACGTCATTATTTCATAAAATGGTGGGTGCGCGTTTGAATTTGTATGAAAATCGAGCAACTTTGACACTGTTATTTGTCTTAAAACTAGAAGACTAAATAAAACGAGCTAGGCGGCTAATCACATGTTCTATATATATTCACGAATCGTCAAATATAAAGGTTTTCTAAGCAGTTATTGATCATGCAATCCCTTGACCACTTTTACTTTTGCATATAATGGATTTAACCTTACGTCTAAGGCTTGAATTTATAAAACTAAAAAGTTTCTACTAAGTATTATGCATTTCCCATCAATCCGCATCATTATACGTACTAATTTCATTCTTTATATTACAAATGGCCGATGGCCATAGATGATACGCAGCTTTGTTAGCTTCTGTCTAGGTTTTAAGAGCTGATTTAGGCAGATTATGTGTTTCCTTAGGTTTCAATACTCATAATCATACAAATTTACGACTTGGCAATTAATACACAAATATTAGTTCATTCTACCGGATGTTTCTGACATGACAGCAGGTGTGACCAGCACCTTTATTGATGCAGCTTCAGCGTGTACTATATTTGAATGTGTAGGGAAATTGGAATAAATAAATAATACAGATGGCGAAACCCTATGTCCATAAACCATTCCTGCTGACTTATTGGCCATTTTTGCTGCATTCGAGAGGCGTCCCAGTTTATTCCATTATATACTTAATTTCCTTCTTGTATGGTAAAAAAAATTAGTGATTGACCATTTTTAAGGTATTTACTATTGAAATTTCCTTATATATACTTAATTTTGGTTGTTTTGGACGATCTATGCTGAAATGCCTGCCAAGCTTCAGCCGGGATAACATAGCAAAATCTGATAATGTTACGTCACATCGCTTACTTTAAAATTTGTGCTTGAAATTGGAGGGGAAAAAAACTAATGTGAATGTACAAAAAATGGAAATTTTAACAAGTGACACCGACGAAGAAGCAAACGTAATTCCAACCAAGAGAAAGCGGTACCGCCAGACGACTTTTGGCGTTATGTTTCAAACATAAAAAAGGGAAATTCAACCCACATGATTCCCATCTTGACGGAGTTAACCCAAAATTTGCTTCTTTTGCCACATAACAGTGCTAGTGTAGAGCGTTTATTTTCAGAAATTAATTTAATTAAGACAAATAACAGAAACAAATTAGACGCGGAGACTTTAAAAGGATTGCTTCACACCAAAAGTGGATTAAAGTAAAACTTAGAGCCTTCTGACAAACACCTAAAATATTTTAATCAAAACATGTATATATTTTTGGAAAACATGTATATAAATTAATATGTATAATTTGAAGAATGTAATTAGTTTTCTAAAACGACAAATGAAATTAATAACAACGAAGCACAATACAGTTAATTTAAAAATTTAATGGTTTACTCATTTTTTGTATTGTTTTTAAGCTTAACAAAGTACGTAGATCTACGTTTTCAGCAACATTGTGCTACGAAAAACACGTCGACTTTGGAGCCTGACTACGTAATTTTCAAATTTTAACTTGGCATCCCTGGACGCAATGCTCGAAAAAAAAAGTGTGCAAAACGCTTGTGTTCTGTGGTTAGTGCTCGAAGTTCGAACACTGGTTAGTGAAATAACCAAGGAACAATGTGACCGGCTGACAGTAATATTAGAAAGCATATAAACAAAGTCTGAGGTGGGAACATGGTTAAAACAGCCCAGATAATAAAGCGTAACAATAAATAAAAACATATAGCAATGACGAAGTATTTCTTTGCATAACATTTTTTATTGATATACATAAGCAAACATAAGAATTAAGTGTTGCACAGCAAACTTCCAATTATGAGACACAATCTTACTCGTCAATTAGTTATTTACACATACATATGTACATATGTACATGTTATTTACACATACAAATATTTCTCAGAGTGAGAACTCGCAGATTCTAAATATAAAACAAATTCCCCAAGAGCGACGTAGAATTATCGAATCAACATGAGCATGTAATATACGGGCCAGCTTCGAGCCCAGTCTCCCCGTGCTCACGCTGCACTCAGCTATCCGTTGTCCGCGTGTGTACGTAGGTAATTTGTTAAGCTATTTCTACTATTGTTATGTATGGGCCATATATGTATGTATACATGTAGAATTATATTTGAACAAGTTAAATGCACATTGCTGACACTTTTTCATAAAAAAATTGCATACGTATGGCAGACACCTTCAGGAGCTGCAACCGGAAATGGAGGGTAAAAGAAAATATCTTGCAAATATCTATGCAAATATTACACACACATAAGTATATACATAGGTACACACACATACACATAAGTACCTCTCCAAATATTCGATCGAAAATTGTCGGCGCCAGCGTGTGATTTGTACATGAACATACATACATACATACAACATATGTATTATGTATAAACACACATAAATACTTAAGAGAACCGTAATAACGGAGCAGGCGAACGGGCAAATAGCCGAACAGACGGACTGGCACGGGGACCTGGCCTCTTAGAGCCCTCGCCATTTCATCGGTGAAATTTATTTTTGGAGCTCTGGCAAAGCAGCGACATTTTTATTTAGACCTAGAATTTGTTTTTATGTTTTTCGGCAAAAACATACAATTCGACAACTTCTACATCTTTTAGCATCACGGCGCGGAGCTTCAATTTAAATTTACAATAGAAAGTGTAGGAAATCAGAGCAAGTGCATTAGATATATATATATATATATATATATATGTACATATGTATATGTGTACATCTTCATATCTTCTTACATACATATGTACATATGGGCATTTTTGCCATTTTCTATTCTATTGCTTATTGCAAATTGTTGCTTGAAGTTGCCTTTAATTATATAACTTAACATAATATTTAATATTTTTAGCTGCGAATCAAAAAACAATAGCAAAATGTAAAAGAACATATTTCTTTAGAGATTGTGTGGCACACATTTATACACACATTTGCATCCCACAAACTGCTACACAAATAATAATCTTTGTCTTGTAACATTTTCCGTCTTATAGAGAATATCATCTGTGAAGACAGGATACAAAATCAGCTGTGATCATGGACCCGGAAGCGTTTTTGGATGTGGCCAATCAGGTCATCAAGCTAAAAATGTTTCCGTTCTTTGATATCGCGCACAGTTTACTTGCCGCGCTGGCCGTGCGCGAGGATTTGGGCGCCAATGCTCAGGCCTTCTCGCGGAAACATCCGCTGGCATGTTGGCTATCCACAATGCTGGTAATATTTGCGGGCGGCATGGTGGCCAACGGGTTGCTCGGGGAACCCATCTTAGCACCATTGAAAAACACTGGACAACTCCTCGTGGGCACAGCTGTGTGGTTAGTTACCAATGCAATCACATATAAATATATACATACATTCATATATGTCTTATTTTTGCAGGTATATAGTTTTTTATACACCCTTCGACATTGGATACAAAGTGGCCAAGTTTTTGCCTGTGAAAATTGTGGCCAGTGCCATGAAGGAAATTTATCGGGCGAAGAAAGTCTACGACGGAGTGGGACATGCGGCCAAACTATATCCAAATGCCTGGATAATCATGATCATAATTGGCACTCTGAAGGGAAATGGCGCCGGCTTCACCAAGCTGATCGAGCGTCTCATAAGAGGTGCATGGACACCGACAGCAATGGAATTTATGCAGCCATCCTTGTAAGTGAATCCATATCGTTTTTTAATTTATGATGTCATTATGGGTTGCTTCGTGGTTTCAGTTATACAAAGGCGTCTTTGCTGGCCTCCATTATCTTTGTGTTGGATAAAAAGACCGATTGGATCTCAGCGCCACATGCCTTAGTCTACTTTGGCATCGTTATCTTCTTGGTGTACTTTAAACTGTCTTCTATTTTACTGGGCATTCACGATCCCTTCCTGCCATTGGAGAACCTGTGCTGTGCTATCTTCTTCGGTGGTATATGGGATAGTTTGGCCAAGATCTTGGGACGTGGCCAGGCCAAGGATGGCGATAGCAAAGACGTTAAGAAAAACAATTAAATCATAAATTAGCTCAAAATACGCTGCCAACCAAAGCTACAAAATTAATTGATATCAAACGAACTTATAAGTCCAAAAAGTCAGACTGTTGTACTCGATTCGATGACCAAAATCAAATTCAACAGTAAGCGGCATGTGGGTGTGTCTGCTTATGATTGACTCTGATTTTAACAAATTCATGTTTTTGGCTATCTCAATTTTAATTTGTAGTCTATTTAGTGACCTTTAACTCTGTGAACTTAACGTTAATTTTGTTTTGTTTTGATCATAATGACGACTGAAAATTCAAAATACGACGACTAATTTAATTACCGATTTATGTCTGCAGTTCAATACCTGGAACGCACTATCCAAGCTCCAGCGCGCAGTCTTCGGTATGCCAAAGTTAATTTTAAAAATATCTGTCATAAACAAATTCTATTAATTTTGATTTTTATTTATTTACTTTTTTTTATGTACCAACCAATACATTTTTATATATTTATTCAAGCTGGATATACTATTAAAAAGTTCATCACAGACGACTATATACATATGTACAAAAATAATCGGACTATTTAGTGTATATTTATATGTAAACGCGCATTCATACGATTAAACGTCTTTTGTATGAGTTATTAATGAACATTGGTTGCAATAAATCTATGTGATTTGAACCTTTAAATGTTGATTTTCTTTACTATAAAAACATCGATCAGAGCGAGCAAGTGTAATTGTGTGTGAGAGAGAAAGAATGTAACAAGACAAAAATGTTTTAAGCAGTGTGTTGCCGTTTTTCCCCGAGAAATAACAGCTGAAATTGAAGAAAAAATAAGCCAAAATAAGCTAAATCCCAGAAACAATTAGCTGAAAAATAAGCTAATATTTTAGAATTGATCTTATATATCGTAATAGACAATACACGTACAAATATTGTAACAAACATTTCATATTCATGAAAAACACAACGAAAATAATAGAAATTTCAACATTACATTCATTTAAATGTTTACATTGATGATAAATCTTCCTGTAAATAGTCGACATACTCAAAGTTCCCTGATGTTTCGATCGATTTGAGGCAGTTGGGAAAATCTATGTAATCAAAACAACATTTGTTATGTCGGCTCAATTCGGATGTAAAATTTAAATAATATTAGTTTCTGTTTTAATGAGAGTTGTTGAGTTTAACGTATCAATGCTCATCCTATTTCTTATTTAATTTTTTATTAAATTGACTTGGATAATTGACTTCGGCATTCCACCAAGGTAATGAATGTAGGCGAAGCGCAACAGCCAATATATTTATCCACTATATGTTAAAGAGTGAAGAATTGCAGAACTAGTGATGTGCGCCTTTAATAGTTGCCAGCTTGTTAATTTGTCTATTAATCGGTAACTTATATCTAAAAATAAAAATATCTGATTCGATTAATAAATAAGCCAGATCTTCCGCTATCCGCGATTCCAAAATTTTTTCCGCAATCGTACTTGAAAATAAGTCAGATCTGGCCGAAAATAAGCCAAAACGGCAACACTGGATGTAAGTAGAAAACTGGACTTTACTGATTTACACACATGGATATCAACTTAATAGCTAAAAAAATCTTTGAACTTAAATTATCAATTATTTGTCTGCTATATAGTAATAAAATGCGCCTTGCAGTGAACTGAAAAATACAAAGAAATAATATGTCAGATATATATGTATAGATATATCTAAGGTATGAACACTCACCAATAAATTCAGATACGGGATCGTTGTCACCCTCACCACGCATTGTACCTGTGATTTCCTCGTTCTCAACCATTGGTAGAAAGAGTTGTACAAACTCGACCGAGTAGGGATGGGTTATAGTTTCTAACACTTCGGTAACGAAATACCGAATCAACGAAATGTCAGTGTCTTCGATTGCACAACATTGCTTGATGTATCGCAGCACTGGTACGACACAACCGCGTGTCAACAAATTCACCATGCGATCCAGTATCATCTTTTTCATTTCTAGTTGCACAAGTATCTCCAATTCATCTTGTTTGGACTCGAACAAGCGGATAAGTAAAAAAAGAATTTGCTGCTGCAATGTTGGATGAACTCCAGCAACCTCATCGAGCACCGCCAAATGTGTGGGACAACTATCCGTAGATAGTTTGAAATATGATGGTTCCATTACAACATTTTCTATCCATCGGATTACGCCAACCCCAACAACTGGATACCTAAATAGACAGGAAAAGAGAATAATAATAATATGAACAATTATGATATATTAGTCATGACTTAAGTTTTTACTTTATGCAGTTGTAGAGCGTCTGTAGCTCCGCAATGAGTTCAGTGGACCCTTGGTCTACATTGCATATAGCGTGTGCCTTTTCTATTGCCTGAATTGTGCTCTTTAGTTCATCTTTATTTAAAGTTCTTTCGGTCATGGGTCTCTTCTTAGCTGGCTGATCAATAACAGAAGAGGCATATGCCAACAAGAAAATATATTTGGGCTTGTGTTCCGGATTTATTTTAACACCAGAACGGAAAAGCGCATCGACCAAAAGTTCTAAAAATTGCGGATTCCGTATCAGATCTATTGGTGGTGGGTCAGAGCCAGAATAATTTCGAAATAGTACGGTAATATCCGCCGGATTCAAGGTATTACGAGTCAACATGGAGGTAAGGGCCTGACACGCCTGGGGATATACCGCCGATCCATTTAGCGCCATTGTAATGGGTGTTACGTTCTGATTGCTTAAATAAACGTCAAAAGAAAAAGTTAGAATTGGATGCCTTAGTTTCAACATATTAAACGTACTTCTGCAATGCGTATTTGATGATTTCCTGGGACAAGCGTTTCATATTGAACCCACCTTTCTGCTCCTGGCTGAGCACTTGAATCAACACCTGCGAATAGACATAAGTGTGCTGACCATGGCAGACCATGCGGGCGCATTCCTGAATGGCACCATGCACATCGTCGGGATTATTTAGAAATTTAACAATTGAAGTTTTGAGAACTCGAGAAAAAACTTCAATTTGTTGCGCGGCCGTTGAGATTGATGTAATTTCACTCTGGAACCCCGCATCTGATATGAGTTTTATGGTGAAGTTAAGCATCAAACAATCTGGATATTCTTCAGCTAGACGATATATTAGCGATCGCCACGTATAGTGATCAATCATTTCTGTGAGCCAGTCCGGCGTCTCGCCCTCCTCGGTAAATATGGTGTCTGCTTTTTTTGGATCAAACGATTTTAGTATCATCTCCTTTAAGTGATTCTCTACCATAGCCTGAACTTCCGTTACTTTCACACCAGCCAAAATTAACCACTCGGCCAGCAGATTGGCCATTTGGGCTACCGCTTTATAGTTTTCAGATAGCATCGATATCACTTCCTCAGGTGAGCCGCCGGATTGGAAATAGCGCTTGAGTTGTGTGAAAATTCCTGGTTCCATTATGTAGTCGGGCGTTAAAAACTTTTCGAGACATTCTTGTATTGTTTTCTGTGGATTGTCTTCGTGCGTTTCCTTGGGTTAGAAATTAGTAGAAGCAAACAAGTTTGTTTTGATTAGACTGTCTTTACATAAAGGTCAAAATTGTTGTATACCTCGGCACTTGACTGTTGTTTTGCACGGCCCTGCCAGCCAGAATCATCATATTCGACTTCCATTATTATTTTATATACAATTTCTCTGTTAAAATTTTTTTGTATCTATCTTATCATTATTTTTTATTTGCTTGAGGCATGTATAAAGCTAATCGGTGCATCGTTGATATCGATATCGCTGATAAGCACTCGATATATATATTTTTTTTTTTAAGATATTAATTAGTTTTCTGTGTTTGTAACTTAAAAGCCTCAAAGACACTATTAAACAATCATTACAAAATATTTCTTTTTTTTTTAAATTAATAATTAGCACCACTAACCATACAAGATGTGTTATTGGTAAATATATAAACAATCGATTAATATGTATTTACGAAAAAAATCGATGTAGTCGCATCCCTGACACACGCCAGCCAACACAAGCAGTCTATGATGTGTGTTTAATTTTACGGCACGGCTGTACTAGAGCTGGAGAACCTTCGCTGGAACTATCGATATAATCGATGGAACTGTAGTTTTTCGATACATCGATGGAAATGTCTCGATGGTCAATATATCGACAATTTAATCTGAGTGGAGCATTAATACACTTTTTTATACCCTGAACCCATTTTCAATGGGAAATCAGGGTATAATGGTTTTGTTGAAATGTATGTAACAGGCAGAAGGAGGCGTGGCAGACCCCACAAAGTATATATATTCTTGATCAGGGCGACGAGCTGAGTTGATTTGGCCCTGTCCGTCTGTCTGTCCGTCTGTCCGTCTGTCCGTCCGTCCGTCTGTCCGTATGTATGAACGCGTCGATTTCAGAAGATATAAGAGCTAGAGACTTCAAATTTTTTTTAAAATGTTCGTAATTACAGCGCGCATATCAAGTTTATCATTAAAAATCGATAACTCATCCCGATCTTTTTTTATCGATAAAAAACCTTATCGAAAACCAGTTATAAAATTATATCTTCTACACCTTTATTGCTAGAGTCTCAAAATTTTTTAGGTATGCCTATATGCAATTTATACAATTTCGGTTTTTGTTAAAATTTACCCCCCACCCTTAAATTCACCCCCTCACCATCACTTTTGTAAAAAGCTTATTTCAAATACTAGAGACTTGTGCTTTGGCAATTATATGCATATCCATGTCATAATCATAATCTGAAAGTTTCATGAAGATCGTACGTCCACAAAAAAGTTATTAAGCAATTAAGTTCTCATAGTAAGCGCTCACTGCCGCCCATGCGTGTTTATGCGTGGTTGCTTGTGTGTGTGTATATGTGTGTGTGTATGCGTTTGTGTATGTATGCGTGTGTGTGTGTATGTGTGTCTGTATGCGTGTGTGTGTATGTATGCCTGTGTGTGCGTACGTGCGTGTGTGTGTGTGTGTGTGCGTATTTCTTGTGTAAGCTGAAAGTCGCGAAAAAGTATTGAAATATCTATTGCTCCAAGGGTTCAGGGGATCTCGTAGTCGAGCAGTCTCGACTAGAGCTTTCTTACTTGTTTCGAGCGTTAGTTGGCAGACCACTTCGTATTTGCTCGGCTCCTCACTTTTAGGTTCGGGCAACGAAAATATGGGAACACAAAATCATTTTTCTTCATGCGCTCGGCCACTAACCAGAGAGCACATAGACTAGACAACTAGTGGAAAGCTTTTTGCACGCTTTTTCTGAGGCTTTAACACCCCAGACTGCTTTGGATTCGCTTGACTCCTTACTTTTAGGTTCGAGCTAAGAAAATATACGAATGCACAATCATTTCGCTTCATGCGCTCGACCGAGATGGTTAAATGTTGAACAAAAGATCCCTCTATGCTCAATGTTTCGCTTGCTCTCTCTCTCTCGATGCTCTCTCAAATGTGTATATGTAAGTTAAGCGCTCCCGTACTAGAGTACTAGTGATTGGGGGACGCTGTGTTGGGTTCTTGTGAATATATAACAACTTCGTGTTCAATGAAATAATATATTTTATATAATTTGGAACAATAGGTCTAAACTCTCTCTAGTCCGAATATAAGCTGAACTAAATCTGTTCAACTGGTTAGGTTCTCCCCTTGAATGTCTGACTGGACTCTCCAGCCTCCTTAGATTG